AGCTTGGTATGTCCAATTCTGCCACAAATAGTACATAACAGGGATAGCCCTTCATAAAGTATTTGTTGCCGGTGAGTTCCTATATACACATGAGATTTTACGGGTTGTTCAAGTGGTACCTCAATGCAGATACGTGCATATCGCCCTCGTGTGTTTTCTGAGGTGCATGTATCTATTTTAAGTAGGGTGACGATCTTAGAACCAACTCGTTGTAGTATATCAAAGTCGTAGAATTCTGTGGGTAACTCAGGTATCCTAATCCAAACAGCAGAGTAAGTAAGTTGTGCATTGGATGCTACGAATTTGGGTTCCCATTTACGAACTGATAGGAAATGATTAAAAATGAACAAGGGACCCCCATTTAAGGCCATATGTAGGGGTGAGCATTCGGTCGGTTCGGTTCGGTTATTCGATTTTCGGTTGTGTAAAAGTAGTAACCGAAACTGAACTGAAATAAGTTTGGTTCAGTTCGGTTTTTCTATTTTCGGTTCGGTTTTCGTTTGAACATTATCATATTGGACTCCTTCTATGTAATAATACGATCGGTGAATTTGTTGATTTTTTCCAAAACTTCGAAATTGTTGGAAATATTGTGTTTATAGAAGAAAAAAAGACTAAACTTTGACACTATTATGGATAATAAAATTCAAACATAGAGTAAATTACAACTCTTTGTGAAATTTTCCCGATATCTATCACATATATTATGGAAGTTTTAATAGTCCGAAAGTCTTTAAGATTGAAAAGTTGATGGACTTACTTAATTGGCTTGAATCTTTGATAGATTGAACCTAATAGTATTAATTTATTACCTATGGGCTTAGCCTATATATAACTTAAAGAACATATATGCTAATAATTCGGTTTTTCGGTTAACCGAACTAAAAAACATAAAAACCGAATACCAAAATTTTAAACATTTAAATCGAAACCGACCGAACAAACCGAATAACCAAAACCGAAATTAAATTTTTTTTGATTTGGTCGGTTTATTCGATTCCGACCGAAATATGCCCACCCCTAGCCATATGCATGTTTTCTTCTTGTTGAAATTTCATAAGGAAAAAATCACATCCAAAGTCTATAGGTGATATGGCTTCCGTAGGTTGCCATAAGGTTAGGAGCTTGTTTTTCAATAGCTGGTGTCCAATTTTACGACCAAATAGCTTAACTATTACTGAATATTTCCAGGGTGAGTAAAGCCTAGATTTATCAAGGGAGGTGAGGGGTATGAAACAATCATATTGGAGATCGTTTTATGTTTCATCTGATAGGTCCAACTATATGGTGGTGTTTATAGCTGCATTTGTGTTATGTTGGGGCAGGGATTTTTGGTGGAGCAATGTCTCTTTAAAAGAAGTTTTTTCAGTAGGGTGGTGAGATGGTGGGGAGTCAATGTGCATAGAACTAAGGTCTGGGGGTTCTGGCGGATATGTGACGGGGGAAGAGGAGTTTAGTTCCATGGCGAAGTTGAAAAGAGGAGCCTTGTTAGGAAACCTAGCTTGGAGATTATTCTAAAATCATAATTCTCTATGGGCTTCCACTCTCCTTCATATTTACCTCAATAAGACATCTGGAACCCAGGGTTCACCCATATGGAAAAATATTCTCGAAGGTTGGAATTTTTGTCAAATCGGTCTTCTTTGGCAGATAGCACGGGGCACCCAGAGGCGGAGCTAGAATTTTAAGGTTACGAGTTTTAATTTCATCATCGAACCCTAGCTCGTTTTAGTTACTGGGTTCGCAATTAAATATTTTTATATATTTAATAATTTTTTCAATACAAATATATTGTTTAAACAAAAGTTACTGGGTTCGACCGAACCCGTAGCTACCACACTACCTCCGCCCCTGGGGGCACCCATATAAATATGTGGCATGCACCTTGGATAGGCCCCAATATTATCCTCCGAAAACTAATCCATGGCCCCTTACAAATAACAGAATCTCAAACCACTCTGAGCCATTATATCCATGATAACTCAATTGACATAACCTCCTTAACCTTCTCTCTACCTGAACCTATTACTTCTCTAATATCGAAGGTCTACATTCCTACGTTAACAACACCTCAGGCCAATGATTCACTCATCTGGGGTCTTACTCTCAATGGCCACTTTACAGTCAAATCCCTATATACTGCCCTCCAAAGACCAACTCCAGCATACCCTCATTACTGGTTGTGGCAGCAACCCTTACCCCCTAAAATCATTCACTTTCTTTGGTTAGTATCACATCAACGTTTGCAAACTGCCTCTTATCTGTATCATATAAAGGTTGTCTTATCTGATATTTGTCTCCTATGCAACCAACAAGTTGAAAATCTCACACACCTGCTATTCCATTGCCCATGCTCCAATAACATCTGGGCACACCTAAGATTGACCCCCTATATTCAAAACAGCACTAATCAGTCCTTCACACCTATTCAGATAATCCACTACTTAATCCAACAAGCAACCAACCTCCTTTATAATTTACCACCAGCCATCCTTATTCCCTATATAGTGTGGTACATTTGGAAACTAAGAAACCACTTTATTTTTAATCGTCACTCTAATAAACCACCACCCTCAACACAACAAATCCTCTCCCAAGCAGCCGAATATCATTATCGTATCCATCAAAACGGGAACGGGCATAAAAAACCCAAGCGGGTGCGCCCATGTATATTAAATGGCACCCTCCAGTGGCCGGTAAATAAAGCTTAACACAGACGGTGCAACAAAAACAAATCCTACTACCAATGGTTATGGAAGCATATTCAGAAATTCAGCAGGTATTTGTTTACAACTCGCGCAACAACATCACTTCACACAGCTGGAAATAAATGTGGATTCCACAGAGGTAATAACAATGCTTTCTAATAATAATCTCCGTTACTCATCCTCTATACTTGAATGCAGGTACTTGCTCCAACAGCTGGGTAATACGCCTATCACTCACACATACAGGGAGCAAAATTATGCAGCCCACTATCTTGCTCAACATGGCTCGCTGGATCAAACTCAGGCAAATGTACTAGTTTTCACTCACCCGCCAGACTTTTTGTTAGAACAACTTCTGGCTGATCAAATAGGGACAGTTTACAAACGTTTTGTATAACCTTGTAATTCTCCAACTGTCCTGCCAAATGTTCCACACCAGCAACAACATTTGGATATCTCTTTTTGTAATAGTCTGCAAATAGCTCCTTGTACTGCTACTACTTAATTAATAGAAGTTCTTTTAATGATTAAAGAAAAAAACATTAGTTTGATTCAATTTTATCTTTCATTTCTACTTTATATTTCTTGATGATTAATTGGTATTGAACTAAATCACATTTCTACTTCATATTTCTTGATTATTAATTGGTATTGAACTAAATCACATTTCTACTTCATATTTCTTGATTATTAATTGGTATTGAACTAAATCACATATTATTAAAAACACTAATCAAATTTAATTGTTACTCGTATTTTCGAGGTAAACAAATACATTAATTAATTAAGATTTTTCTACTTTCAGAAATAAATTAAACTTATTATTTTTATAAAAGTTTAAAATAAGACCGTCCGCGTAATTTGAATAGACCTCGCCTTTTTCAACTTAGAGCGCACAATGTTCCTTTGCGCCACCAATCAGTTTCCAAGTTTCTTTTATTATCGCCGACAGGTTTTCTACTACATATTTCAACACTACACCCACATCTTCCTTTCTGTTTTAATTTCTTTTTTTTTGATAATTAAGCAAGAATATAAACGCAAGCTTCGCTTTAGATACTATTTACCAGAGATGTTTGATAATTGTTGTATGTTTTTACCTTACAACCCTCAAAATGATACTCCCTCCATCTCATATATATTATGATTCTCTTATAAAAGCTCCTTAAAAAAATTAATTAAATGGGATTTTGATTATATTATCCTTATTCATGTCTTAATATTTAAATTTTCTTCATTGGTATTTGAATAAAATTATCCATAATAGAGATGTTAACTTGTAGTCTTAAAGGTTAATTATACTAGGGGTAAAAAAGATTTTTTTTATTGAACTTCTAAAATGACAAATAATTTGAGACAATTATTTTTAATAACCACGACTGATAATATGAGGAGGGAATAACATTTCAAAGAATCTTGGGAAATAATTATGAAAATGAGAAATTAATGATAAGGGTAAAACAAGAAAAAAATTATCTTTTTCTTGATTTATTAAAATAAATAAGTAAAAGTAAAAATATATTTTTATTATAGTGAACGAGTAAAGGTGAAATGGAGAGTATAAATAAATAAATAAATAAATAGAATGGAGGACATAAGTTGGGACATCCAATTAATTGATTCGTGTTAAGATCAAACATTAATTATAGGGAATGGTCTTTATATATTCTAATTATTCAGACACCGGTAACCGGTTGGCCACTAGCAATTTAGTAATAATTCGAAAAAAACGAGTAACGCTGTTGGTTTTCTTTTAATAAATAAAAAAATGAAGCATCAGTACTAGGCTGATTAATATACACAGACAACTAAATATTTTAGAGCTGGGCTTTAACAGCCACTTAGAAATAGAAAATTTGCAGAATAAATATACATTCAGACACCTAAAATATTTTATAGTAGAGCTTTAATAGCCACTTAAAAACAAAAAATCTGCAGAGTAAATATACATTCAGACAACTAATTAAAATATTTCATCCACCATAATTCAAGAGTTAAACAAGTAGAACAAGGACTGACACATTAATAATTTAGCAAATAGAGTCCAATATGAAGAAATAGATAATTAATTGGTATTGAACTAAATCGCATTTCTACTTCATATTTCTTGATTATTAATTGATATTGAACTAAATTACATATTATTAAAAACATTAATTAAATTTAATTATTACTCGTATTTTCGAGGTAAACAAATACATTAATTAATTAAGATTTTTCTACTTTTAGAAATAAATTAAACTTATTATTTTTATAAAAGTTTAAAATAAGACCGTCCGCGTAATTTGAATAGACCTCGTCTTTTTCAACTAAACCAACCAATGGGAATGCAACTGCACATAAAGCAAAGACTTTGAGTCTTCCCCTTCATTTCTATGCCCTACAATGCGTCTGATTATGTCTTGAGAGCAATTATAATTCTTGAATTGTGCCTTTATTCAGCTGAGAAAAAGAAAGGAAGATGGCGGATGTAGTGTTGAAATTTGTAGTAGAAAACCTGCTGGCGATAATAAAAGAAACTTGGAAACTGATTGGCGGCGCAAAGGAAGATTGTGCACAACTGCTGGAAGAAGTTGATAGCTTAAAGGCATTCCTAGAGGATGCTGCACACTATCGTCAAAGCAACAGCAAACAATGGAAACATTTCGTCAACAAAGTCCAAGTTATTGTATATAAAGCTGAGGATCTCATTGATAAGCTCCATATTCAAGCAAAACAGCACCAAGAGAAATACAGAGTTTTGACGAACTATGCCAAAACCGTCAAGGAATGTGTAATAAACATCAAAGCTGTATTAGACAAGGTGAAGAAAATTCGGGAAGAAAATCAACATGCTTTTCAGGCAAAGCCAATGCTCCATTTTCAGCAGGAAATTGTTGCCCATGGGTCACAGGTATGCCCGGAACAACCTAGATTTGTGAATATAATTTCTTTTGCAATTATCTATCATTTTCGTATTTACCTTATTCTAGGAAATAAATATTACACCCTCCGTTTTAATTTAGATAATTAATTTTACTTGTCACAAAGTTTAAGAAAAGAGAAAATATTTTTGGAATATGTGGTCCTGGGGCAAAAACTTTGTAGGACTATAATATTTCTCACTAATGATAAAGTGAGCAATTAAAATAAAAAATTATTATGAAAAGAATTCATCTTAATAGGCATCGAGTGTAATTGTTTTTCTTCCATGGTTGTGACTATTATTTTGGTTATATTTGAGGAGTCGTCATCATTTTGAATGAAAAAAATGTAAAAAATCCGGAATCCTTTGCATTTCCTTAAATAACCTTAGAGTATTCAATGCTTAGAAACTTTATAACCATGGACTAGATCTATCAAAGTAATGTGATAAACTTTATTGCTTTAATTTGAGTACAATAAAGCAACATCTATTTAACCAACAAGGGTTATTGTGGAGTGTTAAGTATTCCTTCATTCTTAACCAATGGTCTTGTGTTCTATTCCCTGGTTATTAAGTCGCCTTTGTTAGGGAGCGCTTTACCCCCTAATGAGGGACTTTCCGGCGCGAATCCGGATTTAGTCAGGCCTCAATATGGGTACCAGACGCCGGATGAAAAACTAAAAAATAAAAAAAGCAACAACTATTTTACCTGGTCCTTACGACGTACTTTAGATTTGATATACCTTTTCAAATAATTAAAACAACCATCACAAATATATCAAAGTAAAATGATGATGCTAAATTGACATGAAAATCACAATTTGGTAATCTGGGATGAAAAACCTATAGTTAAGTATCAGACATTCGAAATAGTTGACAAGAGCTTTAGATATTCAAGACTGAATAGTTTGGTGAAAAAGTAATAATTATTTGGAGGCGAGTTCAAACAATCGCCTACGTTGTAAAGCATTTGCGAAAACATGTTTTCTCACCCCGACAATTTTATGTTGTATTTTCAAGAGGCATATCAAAGAAATGAAGAGAACATAGTTTCTAGACATGTCAGAACAAACTAAAGCGACATAAGGGAACATTTAACAAACTTAATTAAGTTAATTATTTTTGCAGGTTCAAATGTTTATTTAAGTATTATCTTTCGTACAAAGCACGCATATAGAAACTAGTTTAATTAAAGAACTGTGAATATATTTGTTTCACCTTTTGTATTTTTGGATTGTGCATTTTGCAACACAAAAAATTAAGATGGTCTATTTGTTATTGTTAAGTATCCCTATTGCAGAGAAAATAAGTTGTTGTCTTATTATATGGACAATCCTCCCTCCTTAAGCCCAAAGGTCTATTTCTTATTACATGTCACACAGTCACAGTAATATCATAAATTTAAAGTCTAATTTTAATATCTAAACCATTTTTGATGATCTCAGAAGGAGACTTTGCTGGAAGAGACCGAAGTTGTTGGCTTCGATGAGGAAACGGAAACAGTGATCAAACGACTCGTTGAAGGAACGGATGATTTAGATGCTATTCCTGTGGTGGGCTTGCCCGGACTTGGCAAAACCACACTGGCATTAAAAATCTATAAAGATTCTCAGATTTCCTATCATTTCTACACCACTATTTGGATAAAGGTAGGCCTGCAATACAAACTAACAGAGGTGTTTCTTAGCATTCTGAAAGTGTTCGCAAAACTAACTAAAGAACATCAAGATATGAATGTGAATGATTTGGCCAAGATAATACGTGAGTTNGCGCAAGCCTTCCTGCATTCGTTGGTAAGTTTTGGAATTTACAAACTCTTATACTTAATACAAAGGCGTCCACGATTGAGATAAAAGCAGACATATGGAACATGCTACAGTTAAGGCATCTGCACACCAACGTCCCTGCAAAATTGACATCCCCTGCTACCCAAACAACGTATGGATCGTCTTGCCTACAAACTCTTTCTAAAGTCGCACCAGGTAGTTGCGGAGAAGATGTGCTCTTAAGGGCTTGTAATCTCAAAAAAGTGAGTATTCAAGGGGAAATGGCTGAATTTTTGGAAACTAACAAGGGTGGGTTCAGAAACTTTGCAAAGCTAAAGTTTTTGGAACATTTGAAGTTGTTGAATGACTTTGGCAGGTCCATGAGAAAAGTTGTTCAACTTCCTCCAGCATTCGCCGAGCATCTGCAAAAACTGAATAAGCTAACTTTGTCAAATACAAAGTTTCCTTGGAGTGATGCAAATATACTAGCGCGGTTGGAATGCCTTGAGGTCCTAAAGCTGAAGGAAAATGCATTTAGCGGGACGACCTGGGATTTAGATATCGGAGGCTGTTTTAGCCAACTCAAGGTATTGTTCATTCAAAGAGCAGACTTTGAGATTTGGAAGGCTTCAGATCTTTCATTCCAAAGACTTAAGTGTCTTGTTCTTATATCATGTGATAAGCTTGAGGTTGTGCCATTTGAGCTGGCTGGTGTAAGTAGCCTTCAACAGATGACGCTGGAGAACACAAACAAGGCAATCAAATCTGCAAAAGCAATCGAATGCAGAAAGAGAGAGCTGATACAAGAATCTAAAAAACGCAAATTTGGAATGGATATCAGTCAAGCTCCAGATAGTTCCAAATTCAAGCTCATGATATTCCCCCCTGAAACTTCGGATTGCAACGCCATATAGCAAAGTTGAAAAAGGTTAGCAGAGTTTATTTTGTTTCGTTTTCGTTATTGTTTTAACCAGTGTATGACTAGTACTAGTATAATATTTATGCTATTTTCATATGCTGGAAATTTGTCGCTGATCCTGAAAATAGCCTCTCTGTCACTCCGGGATAAGGGTAATGTCTGTATGCACTCTACCCTCCCCAGAATCTACTGGAGGGATTTTACTAGGTTGTTGGTGTTGTTGTATATACGTATGCTGGAATCCATTATTATCTGTAGATATTAGAAAGAGACTGCATAAAAATACATCCATATGATACATGTTCAATTTCGTATAATGTCCAATATGTATGTATCTTTCATAATTATTTAATTCCTCAGACAAATATGGCAATTCATGAAATTCCTTAATAATTTTTCTCATTAAAATCCAATATAATTGCAACATGTCTCCTCTCTTTTCTTTCGTTGTTCATCATTTAATATACGTGCTAATTTTCCTCTTTTCTACAGGAGAAATCAGGACAGTATTGACCTTGCTGTGAGCCTGGGGTCAAGAACAATTAGCTGGAATACTTGAAATGATGCAATAAAGAAAATTAAAACCTGTTTGTCTTTTATTTCAATGTAAATGAGGTTGTAACGCAAGCACTACTGGGTATGTTATTGTTGTTGTTTGACGTAGAAAACTAATCTCTGAATTTCGTTGGGTTTTGTTGCATATCGAGTTCCTGGATTCTCCTCTAGTTCCTCCATTACATTTTTATATAGGCAACAAATGTCCATTAATGTGCAAGTCCAAAGGCTCAGATTTAACTACCTTAATATAACTAGTCTAACGGAAGGGGAGCCTTGGTGTAACTGGTAAAGGTGTTGTCATGTGATCAAGAGGTCATGGGTTCGAGCTCTACAGCTCTTGTAGATCCAAATGACTTAGAGCTTGTTGGACATAAGAAATTTTTCACTTTTTTCCGAAATCGGTGTTTAACCATAAAATTTTTAATTTTCACTTGAAGATTAATTTTGGAATTTTTCGAAAATTTGAAAAACTCCAAAAATTATTTTTCAAAATTTTTACCCAGATCACTCACAAAACATAAAAAACAATACAAAATTATATTTATGTCCAAGTACAACTCTAATTTTCAAATATAATTTTCTCTTGATTTTTTTTTTTTTTTTTTATTTTTTTTGAAATTTT